CCTGAAAGCTCCAGACATGAGGAAGAAGGAGAAGAGTAGAAGGTGACAGGAAATAAACAGAATGATACAAAAATCAATAAAATGAAACACTGGTTTGTTGAAAAAAATGAACAAGATAGACAAACCATTAGCCAAAGTAATTAAAAGGCAGAGTATCCAGATTAACAAAATCATAAATGAAAAGGGAACATAACAACAGACACTGATGAAATAAAAACAAAATCGTTAGGTCTTATTTCAAAAGCCTATATTCCACAAAATTGGAAAATCTAAAGAAAAAGTACAATTTTCTGGATAGATTTTACCTACCAAAGCTAAATCAAGATCATGTAAACACTTTAAACAGTCTTATAACCCCTAAAGAAATAGAAGCAGTCATCAAAAGTCTCCCAAACAAACAAAAACAAACAAACAAAAAAAAGCCAGGTCCAGAGGCTTTCAGCGCAGAATTCTACCAGATATTCAAAGAGTTAATATCAATACTCCTCAAATTATTCCACAAAACAGAAACTGAAGAAACATTACCCAATTCATTCTATGAAGCCACATTCACCCTGATACTAAATGGAAAAAGACTCAACAAAGAAAGAGAATTTCAGACCAAATTCACTCATGAACATCAATGCATAATTATTCAATAAAAGGACTTGCAAACTGAATCCAAGAACATATCAAATACATCATCCACCATAATCAATTTAGCTTCATCCCAGGGATATAGGGATGGCTCAACATACAGAAATCCATCAACATAATCCACCATATAAACAAACTCAAAGAAAAAAATCATATGATTATCTCATTAGATGTAGAGAAGGTCTTTGACAAAATCCAATGTCCATTCATGATAAAAATATCGGAGAGATCAGGGATACACTGTCCATATCTAAACGTAATAAAGGCAATATGTAGCAAGCTGTTTGCCAACATCAAATTAAATAGAGAGAAACTCAAAGCAATTCCACTAAAATCAGGAACAAGACAAGGTTATCCACTTTCTCCATATCTCTTCAGTATAGTATTTGAAGTTCTAGATAAAGTTATAAGACAACTAACATAGATCAAGGACATACAAATTAGGAAGGAAAACATCAACATGTTGCTATTTGCAGATGATACGATAGTGTGCATATGTGACCCAAAAATTCTACCATAGAACTCCTACAGCAGATAAAAAGCTCCAGCAAAGTAGCTGGAAGATAAACTAAAAAAAAGTCAGGTGGAGAAGAAGGAGAGAGGAGGAGACCGTGAGAGGAGGAGGAAGGGGTTTATGGGGTGATACAAAGCGAATAAAGTATAATTAATAATAAAAAATGAAAAAAAATCAGTAGCAAATGACAAACAGGATAAAATAGAAACTAGGGAAACTGCACCCTTCATAATAGGCACAAATTGTATAAAGTATCTTGATGTAACTCTAACCATGCAAGTGAAAGACTGTATGACAAGTACTTAAAGTCACTGAGGAAAGAAACTGAAGAAGATATCAGAGTCTGGAAAGATGTCACATTGGTAGGATTATCATAGTAAAAGTGGCCACCTTCCTGCTCATTGATCACCTCCCCCTGAGGGGGGAGCAGCCTTATCAGGCCACAGTAGAGGACAATGCAGCCACTTTTGATGAGAACTGATAGACTAAGATCAGAAAGGAGAGGAGAACCTTCCCTATCAGTGGACTTGGGAAGTGGCATGCATGCAGAAAGGGGAGGGAGGGTGGGATCGGTGGGATCGGGAGGGGAGGAGGGAGGGGCTTATGGGGGGATACAAAATGAATGAAGTGTAACTAATAAAAAAATTTTAAAAATGGCCACCTTCACAAAAGCAATCTGCAGATTCAACATAATCTCCATCAATATAACCAACACTGTTCTTTGCAGACCTTGAAATAATAATTCTCAACTTCATATGGGAAAAAAAATACAGAATAGCTAACACAATCCTATACAATAAAAAAAAAACCTTTTGGAGATATCTCTGTCCTTGACTATACTTCAGGCCACTGGTAATAAAAACTACATGGTACTGGCATAAAAACAGAATGGTGGATCAACGGATTCAAATAGAACACCCAGAAATAAACCCACATATCTATGGACATTTGATTTTTGACAAAGGAGCCAAAACTGTATAATGGAAAAAAAAGAGAACATCTCCAACAAATGGTGCTAGTATAACTGTATGTCTACATGGAGTAAAATGCAAATCGATCCATGTTTAATGTCCCTGAACAAAACTCAAATCCAAGTGGATCAAAGACCTCCATATAACACCAGATAGCAGAAGAGAAAGAGAGGAAGAGTGTCAAATTTATTGGCACATGAGATAACTTCCTAAAGAGAACACCAACCACTCAGGCTCTAAGATCAACAATTGATAAATGGGACCCAAATTAATAAATGGGTAACTGAAAAGTTTCTATAAGGCAAAGGACACTGTCAATAGAACAAAACAATAGTCTACAGATTAGGAGAAGATATTCAACAATCTTAATCAGACAAAGGGTGAATATCCAAAATGTATAATGAACTTAAAAAATCAAACACCAATAAACCAAATAACCCAATTTAAAAGTATGGTACAGAAATAAACAAAGAAGGAATATCAAATGGTCAAGGAACACTTAAAGAAATGTTCATCAGACTAACTCCCCTTCTTTCTTATGATTCCCTGTACTCTGCCAAAGGTTTGGTCATGAGTCTTTGCTTTGAAAACACTGCTAGTTAGAGTCTTTCAAATGTGCTCAGTAGACTCCTGTCAATGTTCAATGCACATCCCATCTGTCTTTCAAAACGAGGATGGATAGGAGCTCCACAAGGACCAAATATATCTGGGCACAGGGTCTTTTCTGAGACTGACATGCAACCAAGGACCATGTATGAATGTAACCTAGTACCTCTGCTCAGATGTAGCCTGTGGTAGCTCAGTAACCAATTGGTTGCCCATAGTGAGGGGAACAAGGACTATTTCTAACAGGAACTCAATGACTGGCTCTTTGGCCTCCCCACCCCCCAAGGGAGGAGCAGTCCTGTTAGACCACAGAGGAGAGCTTTGCAGCCAGTCCTGAAGATACCTGATAAAACAGGATCAGATGAATGGGGAGGAGGTCCCCCCTATCAGTGGACCTGGCAAGGGGCACGGTGGAGATGAGGGAGGGAGGGAGGGACTGGGAGGGAATGAGGGATCGGAACACAGCTGGGATACAGAGTTAATAAAATGTAACTGATAAGAAAAAAATAAAATTAAAAAACAAACAAACAAACAAAAAAGAAATGTTCATGACTTTAGTCATCAGAGAAATGCAAATCAAAAGGGCTCTAAAATTCCACCTCACACCAGCAAGAACAGCTAAGATCAAAATAGACAGAGGTAATAGATAAAGAGAGAGAACAAAGAAGGAGAGCGGGCACAGAGAGTTAAGAGTACGGAGATGAGACCCGAGGAGAGCAAGGGTGAGAGGACAGAAGGCTTATAGAAAAAAAGAGAAACTGGGTGGGGATATCTCTGTGACAACCTGGAAACTTAAGTCAGGATATGAAGGTTACTCAAGCAGACTCCTAGTAGCAGAGTCCATAAAGACTGAAGGGAACATCCTCTAGACTAGTCTTCTAATAAAGGATGGGGAACACTAACTCACCCACAAAAGCTTTGACCAAAAATTTACCCTGCCTGTGAGATGTGCAGGGATAAAGATGGAGCAGATAGAGTAGAAATTGATGGAATTCCCAACCGATGACTGGCCCAACCAAAGACCTACCTTATCTGACAGTGCCAAACACTGATACTATGAGTGATACTCTGCTAAGCTTGCAGACAGGAGTTTGTCAGAGTTGTCCTGTGAGAGGCTTTACCCAGTAGCACCTCAAAATAGATGCTAAGACTCACAGCAAACATTGACTGATGCATAGGGAGTCTTGAGGAGTATTAAGAAGAAAGAGAAAAGGACCCAGAAGTGAAAGGATCACCACAAGAGAAACAATAGAGCCAACCAACCATATCCCAGTTTGCTGAGACTGAAGCATCAACCAAGGACCACGCATGAACTGGACCTAGACCCCCTACAAAGATGTAGCAGATGGGCAGCTTAGGTTTCACTGTGAGTCCTCTAGTAAGGGATGTGGGGACTGCATGGGATAAGGACTTGCTTGCTAGCTTTTAGATCACTTTCCCATGGTGGGATTGCCTTCCAGGCCACAGGGGAAGAAGATAAGTTCAGTCCTGACACAACTTGATGAACTGGGTAGATGTGAAAAGGAGCTCCCCTTTTCCAGAAGGGCACAAAAGAAAGGGTGGGATTGGAAGGGAAGGAGGGAGGTGGCTATATGGGTGAGAATAAAATGAATAAATGAGAAAAAAATCAACACACACGCACAGGCACACAGGTATGCATACATGCATACAAGCACTCATATATGGTGTCTCCTTCTTAAATAATTCCGCAAGAAAGATCCAGTTAACTCTTGTGATTTTATTACCAAAAATGAATAAAGAAAACCCTAGCAACACCATAAAAGAGTAACTATCAAATTATAGGTTAAAGAAGAATGGTGATGTTCAATGCTAGATGAAATCCCAAATCAAGGGAGATTGTTGTTAGAAATATTGTTATTATAATTAGAAAATTTGAATACAGAATACGAATTACAAATGAGGTTGTTATATGTGAATTATTTATAAACAAATTCCTTTGTTCTATGGAAATATGTGATGAAGATTGTAGCAATAAAAGACCATATTATATGTCACTTTGGAGAGAATTAAATACATATGCCTTCATAATTTCCATTCAGCATGGCCCATAGCACAATATACTTGTCTTGCTTAAAGAAATCTTCCAACAATAGATAAGAGGTCAGTTGCTGAAGTGAAGGATTGGAATGAAATTCTAATGCTCAGAGGGGAGAAACTCAACTGTATACTAAGCACCTTGGTCAGCAGAAGGTATCTTGTTACTTTTTTAAGGAACAAAATCTTAGCAGAGGGCTTTCAAAAGAATAACTGACCTCCAAGCCCTGGTCGCAGACGGTTATCATATCCATCCAGAAGCCTATCCAAGATTCTAGTGAAGATAGTGATGTTGTCGGTGCTGTCATCAGGAATATCTGGAGCATGCTTAGGAGAGAGTCTGCAAAGGAAAATAAAGCGTTCTTAATAGAAAACAATTACATGACTAACCATTTCAATTCCAGAAGATTTCAATAAGTAGACCTGGCAAATTCAATAGCTGTACATCTTGACCCACTGAGCAAGCAATTCTTATTTGCTACAATAATTGCTTGTGTAGGAAGAGAACAGCACTCAACACTTGCACTCTTCCTTCTAAATTTGCATGAAATTTAGCAGGTACATGTTCCAGCCTCATCTCAGCAGCAGACAAACACAAGCAGACACAGTGTTGTTGGCAAAAATAACTGGCAGACATTTTCTGCTCGAACTAAAGAAAAAAAATGTTACTGAGAACATACCAGCAGTTTAGTCCAGAGAAATATATGATAACAGAATAGTTAGGCAAAACCTTGAACTACCTTCAGTCCCCACCATATGAAGACATAGCAACCAAACCAGTAGTAATTTAGAAAATACAAAAGATACCAGGACTATTTGTAGTGATACTTCTATCTCATTTTACATATGCAGAAACAAGCTGAGAGAAAAGAGAAAACAAATTTGTTGTCAGTCATATCACTAACAAAGGCAGGTATAGGACAATAATTGAAAACTTGCAGATTTTACACTCCATCCTACTTCTTTCATTTGGATGCCTTTTGAAAGCTCTTCTGAATACCATATGTTTTTCTAAACACATAATCATGTTTGTTTTCTAAACACATAATCACATTATAAACAAAAGTAATGTTTAGAAACAATCATAGTTGTTTTTATTCTATATAATAGGAACTTGGTGTTATTAGACACAAAAAGAATTTTGTTTGTTGTTTCAGAGGTTATTCTTAATCACCAAATAATGTCCTGTTGTATAAATGTACAATATTTCCATTATCCATTCATCAGATAATGAACATGTAGGCCTTTTCCATCTGTTGGCTGGTAAATAGAGAAGTAATGAACATGGATGAGCAGTAGGCATCTCTCTAGTATGGCATGGAGTCTTTTGAGTATATACTCAAGAATGGTCTAGCTGGATCATTTGGTAAATCTGATTCTAGATTTTAAAGATACTCTATAGTGATTCCACTATGAATTTTACAGTGGCTATAAACATCTTCACTCCCACAAACAGGAAAAAAGTGTTTCTCTTTCCCCACATCCATGCACGTATCTGCTTTTATTGAAATATTTTACTGTGACCATATGACTGAGGGAAAAAAAATCTCAAAGTAGTTTTAAATTGCATTGACTCTGATGGCTAAGGATGCTAAAAATAAAAAAATAAAAATACTCATGCACTTGTATTTCATTTTTTGAGAACTCTTTGTTTAATTCTATACCCTATTTCTAATTGTATTTTTTTTCTTAATACATTTCATAACCCTGAGCATATAACCTTCTACTTTCCAGAGAGGGCTATTAATACTGAAATATACAAATGATCTGGCTACAAGGAATAAACTAAAAAAAATATTTAGCAAAGTGACTGGATACAATATTAACTCCAAAAAGCAGTAGCCATCCTATATACAAATGACAAAAGGGCTAAGAAAGAAATTAAGGAAACTACACACTTCACAATAGCCACAAATATAATGAAGTAACTTGTAACTCTAACCAAGCAAGTGAAAGACCTACATGAAAAAAAAAAAAAAACCTTTGCTCAATCCCCATCCTGAAAGGCAAAGAGGATGGACATCAGAAGAAAAAGAAAACAGAAAACAACCTAGGAACCTGCTACAGAGGGCCTCTGAAAGCCAGAAGAAAACAGGAAACAACCTTGAAACCTGCCACAGAGGGCCTCTGAAAGCTTCTGCAGTATAGACTGTCAAAGCAGATGCTGAGCCTGATGGCCAACTGATGGGCAGAGTGAATGGAATTTTATGTAAGAAGTGGGAAATAGTAAGAGCTGGAGGGGATGGGAACTCCACAAGGAGAGCAACAGAACAAGAAAATTTGAACACAGGGAACTTCCCAGAGACTCATACTCCAACCAAGGACTATCCATGGAGATAACCTAGAACCCTGACAATGCAGCCACTTCTGATGAGAACTGATAGGCTAAGATCAGAAAGAAGGAGAGGAGGACCTCCCCTATCAGTGGACTTGGGAAGTGGCATGTATGCAGAAAGAGTGAGAGGGTGGGACCGGGAGGGGAGGAGGGAAGGGCTTATGGGGGGATACAAAATGAATAAAGTATAATTAATAAAAGTTAAAAAAAAGAAATTGAAGAAGATATTGAAAGATGGAATGATCACCCATGCTCATGGATCGGTAGGATTAACATAGTAAAAATGGACATCCTGCCTAAGGCAATCTACAGATTCAATGTAGTTCCTATCAAAATATCAACAAAATTATTTACAGAATTGGAAAAACAGTATTCAATTTCATATTGAAAAAAATCCCATAATTTCTCAAACAATCATGTACAATAATCTGGACTTATCTCTATTTCTGATTTCAAGCTGTACTAGAGGGCATCAATAATAAAAACTTCATGGTATTGGCATAGAAACAAAATGGTGGATCAAAGGAATTAAATAGAAGACCCAGAAATAAATCCACACACTTACGGATACTTGATTTGTGACAAAGAAGCCAAAACCATACAATGGAAAAAACATAGCATCTTCAACAAATGGTGCTGGTCTAACTGGATGACTACGTGTAGAAAAATGCAAATAGACCCATATTTATTACCCTGCAAAAAGTTAAAGTCCACGTGGGTCAAAGACCTCAACAGAAAGCCAGACACACTAAATTATTTAGAAAAAGTGGGGAAGAAACTTGACCTCATTGGTACAGGAGAAATCTTCCTGAACAGAACACCAACAACACAGGCTCTAAGATCAACAATTAATAATTGGGACCTCATGAACCTGAAAAGCTTCTGTAAAGCAAAGGACACTATCATCAGAACAAAACAACAGCCTACGGACTGGGAAAGGATCTTCACCAATCCTACATGTGACAGAGGGCTGATATCCATAATATATAAAGAACTGAAGAAGTTAAACACCAACAAAACAAGTAATCCAAAGGAAAAAAAAAAAGAGTACAGAGCTAAACAGAGAATTCTCAACAGAGGCATATCGAATGGCAGAGAAACACTTAAAGAAATGATCCTTAGTTATTCAGGAAATGCAAACCAAACCACCCTGAGATTTCAACTCATACTCATCAGAATAGCTAAAATAAAAAACTCAAGTGACAGCACATGCTGCAGAGGTTGTGGAGAAAGGGGAACCCTCCTCCATTGCTGGTGGGAATGTAACCTTGTACAACCACTTTGCAAATTAATCTGGCTAAAATTAGCCAGATCCAGCTATACAACTTGTAGGCATATACCCGAAAGATGCTCCCCCATTCAATAAGGACATTTACTCAACTATGTTCATAGGAGCTTTATTTAGCAAGATCCAGCTATACAACTTGTAGGCATATACCCGAAAGATGCTCCCTCATTCAATAAGGACATTTACTCAACTATTTTCATAGGAGCTTTATTTGTAACAGCAAGAATCTGAAAACAACCTAGATGTCCCTCAGTATAGGAATGGATACAGAAAGTGTGGTGTATTTAAAGAATGGAATACGAATATTACTCAGCAATTAAAAAAAAAAGGAAATCATGAAATTTACAGGCAAATGGTGGGAACTAGAAAATATATTCCTGAGTGAGGTATCCCAGAAGCAGAAAGACACATATGATATATACTCACTTATAAGTGGATATTAGTCATATAATATAGGGTAAACATTCTAAAATCTATTGTCTAAAGAAGCTAAACAACAAGGAGGACCCTTGGGAAAATGTGTATTCCTCACTCAGAATGGCAACCAGGATAGACATCAGAAGTAGGAGTAGAAAGGGAACAGGACAGCAATCTTCCACAGAAGACCTCTGAAAGACTTTACCCATCTTGGTATAGAAGAAAATGCTGAGACTCTTAGCCAAACTTTGGCAGAGTGTCAGAATACTTATGGAATAACAGGAAGATAGAAAGACCTGTAGAGGACAGAACTCCATACAAAGAACAACAGAGACAAAATACCTGGACCCAAGGGGCCCTGAAAAGACAGATACTCTAACCAAGGATCATACATGGAGAGAACCCAAACAACCTATTCAATGGAAGCCCATATACTGCTCTGCTTCAAAGTGGGTTCCCTAACAAGGGGTACAGGGGCTGTCTGTGACATGAACTCAGTGGCTAGCTCATTGATCACCTCCCCCTTGGGGGTGCAGCCTTGCTAGGCCACAGAGGAAAATGATGCAGCCAGCCTTGATGAGTCATTATAAGCTGCGGTCAGATGGAAGGTGAGGAGGTCCTCTCTTATCAGAGGACTAGGGAAAGGACATAGGGGAAGAAAAGGAAGGGTGGGAGGGACTGGGAGGAGACAAGGACGGGTACTGCAGACAGGAGACAAAGTGAATAAAGAATGTGGCCTCTGATAGGTCCAAGAAGCTCCAGTGAAAGACTAGATGTGCAGTAATAAATAAATGGATTGAATTTGATGGATGTAAACGTAAAAAAAGGGAGAAGAATACAAGATTAGATGTGTAGAGAACAGAGGATTAGATATGCGAGGAGTTGGAATAAGGAGTGGATATAGTCAAGACACACTGTCTAAGATTCTCATTGAACTAAAATGTGTTAAATACCTTGCTGGGTAGAATCTTTCAGAGGCCCTCTGTGATAGGCTCCTGTCCGGTTCCTTGTTTTCTCCCTCTTCCAATATTTGTCCCATTAGCCTCTCTGAGTGAGGATTGATCATTTTACCCAGGGTCCTCCTTCTTGCTTAGGTTCAATAGGTGAAAAAAATTTTAGTATGTTTATTCTATATTACATTTCTAATATCCACCTATAAGTAAGTATATAGACGCTACCCAGCAATGTATCAAAGCAAATGCTCAGACTCATAGTCAAACTTTGGGCAGAGTTCAGGGAAGAATCTTATGAAAGAAGGTGGAGATAGAAAGACATGGAGGGGACAGGAGCTCCACAAGGA